CCCAGAATAAACATAGGTTAGTGTCGGTCAAAGAGTGAACCGCGCATGTTCTCCTTACGAAAGTGAAATTCCTACACGAATCCAAGAGACTCAGATTCGATAAGTCCGCTACCGATCCGACCGAAACAGTTACATGGTGCCGTGGCCCAGGATCGCAAGCTTATCACCGAAACGTCTCTTCCCGAGTGTACCACGTTCCTGTCGTCCGATACAGCTACGCCTCGACCATGAACGAAGAAGAAACCAAGAGAAGGCTGAAAACCTTGCGACAGTCCCGAACAATCCGCAGAAACAAGGCGATGGCCGAGTTGGAGGCAGTCACAGATCTCCACTCAGGTAACCCGACGTTCGCCGAGGGTCAGCGCCCGGAAGAACTCCTCATTCTCATGACTCAGCACGTTGAGCGTATCCGCGAGTTGGACGGCAAGATCGCCGACCTGGTGAGCGAAGACGCAGTCGACGCCGAGGCGACCGCTTCGGAAGAATTTCACATCGAGATCGAGCGGGGAATCGCTGCAATCAGCGCTGTGACCCAGGTCGGGACCGGCGACCTTGCGGCGCAGGCAGAGATGCCGACGTTCTACGGAACCCCGGAAGCCATGCGACACGTCCGATTCAGGCCCACGATGAACTCTACCATGAGCGCGCCACGTCAAATGCGCGAGGCGACCCAGGTCCCGGACAGTTCGCCACAGCCGGCCGCGCAAGTGGTATCGACGACAACCGCGCGCTTGCCTCGTGAGCTCGACATTTCTCCCGAGGTATTCGCAGGAGATCGCCTGAGGTACCGTGCCTTCATAACCCAGTTCAAATGCTTCGTTGGAAAGAGACCGGAGGCCACTCCGGCGGAAAAGCTGATGGTGCTCCGGAAATACGTGACCGGCGAGCCTAGGGACATCGTTCAGGCTCTCGAGCTGTCGGATGCAAATTACCAGATTGCTCTCGACCTACTGCATGAGAACTACGCCCGCACAGAAAGCGACAAGGAAAAAATCCTATCTGATCTCCGAAATCTTCCCCGAATCCCCCGATATAACGATTTGCCGGCCCTGCGTAAACTTCTTACTGTCCTGCAGGGGAACATCGCGACTCTCGCATCCAATGGGATTCCGCTCACCGACTTCGCGCTATCGCTGAGATCGGCGATAGAAGCAGCCCTACCGATTCGGTTGCGCCAAGACTACAAAGATTCTCGCCGTCTCGAGAAGAAGCTGCTCGCCCTCACCAGAGGTGGCAGCGGAGAGGGGTCTACGGCCGACGACTGCATCGAGACAGCTGACGAGGAAAGCACCACCGACGCAGACGACAGTGGCACATCTGTTTCAACGAGGGCTGCCAAAGAGGTCCGCAACCTGATCGACTTCTTGCGCGGTCGTGTCCGGGACTGGGAAGACAACCGATACTTAGATGAGCGGGCTTCGCCGGCTACAGCCGAGGTTCCTGAGCGCCCGGCGCAAGCGCGAGATGTGCGGCGCCGACCCAAGAGCACCATCGCGGGTGCTGCGTCGAGACCGTCTGGATCAGCTGGGACCGGTTACCGGCCGCGACCATGTTTGTTTTGCCGAACGGCTGATCATAACTCGTCCCGCTGTACGGCAAGCTTCTCCATCGCAAAACGCCGAGAGATCCTCACGGCTCAGCGGCGTTGCGAGAAGTGCTTCAGGACGAAACATGCGAACCCCGCCGACTGCCGCGGTCCGAAGGCGCCGTGTGCCTCGTGTGGCTCAAGACAGCACTATACTTCAATGCACGGACCTGATTCACCAAGACATGGTGATCGGACAGCCGCTGGAAGTGACGCGACGACCGCCGCGGTGGTCCAGACGGTGAGCGGGGCAAGCGCGGACACCGGCGCACTGCTGCTAACTGCTTGTGCCTATGTGATCAACGGTGGGGTCAAGATTCCTATCCGGGTGTTCATGGATCCCGGAAGTACGCTTACCGTGATGCTGCCTTCACTCCGAGCCATGCTCCGCGATCCTCCCGTTGGTGTAAGCAATCTCACCATTCAGGCTTTCGCCTCGACGCTGGCAAGTGAACGGATTCCGTTGTACAACATCCGCATCATGAATATTCGTGGAGGACCAACAATCGAGCTCTTCGCCCACGAGTACAAGTTCGACGTCGACCCGCCGAATACGACTACCAAGGCCGTCCTTCAGGCCCTCACCAATTTCGACCGAGAGAGTCCGCTCGCAGATAGAACATATGTGGGAGAGTGGTCACGCATGCCACCCGCCTTACTTATTGGAATGAATCAACTCCATAAGGTAATGCACAGAGAGCTTCCACAACCCGTCGTGGATGACATAACCGCACAGTCATCGAAGTTAGGGTGGCTCGTTGGGGGTTCGATTCCCCTCGGTCAGCACCACATAAAGGGTGAGGTGACGGCGACGCACATCGTCTGCTGCGCCGCCGGCCTGTCCGCCCGTCAGTCTCTGCAGATGTCATCGGCTGCCAGAGCTCTTGAGACGCTGTGGAGCTTGGAGGCGCTGGGTATATCGGACCCCCCTGCAGCGTCGCAGATGTCGGCGGACGAGGAGGAAGCTACTCGACAATTCAACAGCGAAATCTCCTTCGAAGATGGTCATTATGTGGTTTCGTTCCCGAAGCGACCGAGCATCTCTCAACTTCAGAACAATCTGGGCGTCGCTTCCCAACGTCTCGAGCGAAAATTATCGCAGCTCAGGCAATATCCCATGAAATATCGACGCTATCACGCGGAGGTGATGAAGTTCATCGACGACGGCTTCGCTGTAGAAGTTCGCGACTTCTCGCCTGGTTCCCGTTCGGAAGTCGATGGTTCATACTACATGCCTCATCACGAGGTTGTCGTGACGTCGGAAAAGGCGGAAAAATGGAGAATCGTGTTTGATTGCTCCGCAAAGCAGAAAGGCGCCTCGTCCCTCAATGATCATCTCTTACCGGGTCCGAACCTGAACCCCGACTTGGTGTCGCTTCTTCTGAATTTCCGACTGCACTCCGTGGCGGTGTCGGCCGACGTGAGCAAGGCCTACATGAGAATCGCCGTCGCACCGGCAGATCGGCCGCTGTTTCGATTCCTGTGGAAGGGACCCGACGCCGACTCCGTCCGGGCGTACCAGATGCAGCGAGTTACGTGGGGAGCGGCGTCATCCGGTTTTCTCCTGGCCGCGACGATCCGGCATCACTTACAGGGAGCCGACCCCGCGTCGCAGGATCTCTCGAAATGTCTATACGCGGATGATTTCTTGCAAAGCTTCGAAGACCCGCAACGCGATTCAGTTCACCGATAACATCCGTCGCACACTCAAGTCGGCGGGAATGAATCTCGCGAAGTGGAAGACAAATTCGAAGGAGGTGGACGACCACTTACTCAGCAATGGCGTCAAACCAGACGAATTCGATTCGACAGCGTCGGGGTTCTTGAAAGTTCTAGGCATCTCCTGGTGCCCGTCACAGGATGTCTTATTGTTTACGACACCTGCCTCGTTTGACGGTCTGGAACTCGAAAGCGCTCTGACAAAACGTCGAGTACTGAGCTTGGTGGCATCTATATTCGACCCTTTGGGTTGGCTCACCCCGTTCACCCTCCGTGCGAAAATGATCATCCAGCAACTTTGGGCCATCGACCTCAAGTGGAACGACACGATTCCGGACAGAATCCGTGAGGAGTTCCGCGCGTGGATGTCAGAGGTCGGATCCCTCAGCGAGATCAAACTGCGGCGACGGTACAGCAACATATCGAGAACGCCGAGCGCCTACCTGCTGCATTCGTTCGGAGATGCCTCGCAGACGGCGTATTCCTGCGCATCCTACATCGAAATACAATACTCGGATGGACCATCCGACTTCGCTCTCGTGATGACAAAATCAAGACTGGCTCCACGTGACTCACCATCCTTGCCTCGGCTCGAGCTCCTTGCGGCTCTGATCGCCGTCCGCCTGAAAAGGTTTCTGACTGAAAGAATGAACGTCAAATTCGAACGAGCCCTGTTTTACACCGATTCGACGATTGCCTATCACTGGGCCACATCTTCGAATCCCGGATGCTGGAAACAATTCGTCAGCAACAGGGTGCGTGAGATCCAGGCGGACTCCCGACCAGAGGATTGGTTCCATCTGAAGGGCAACTTCAACATCTCAGACCTGGCGACTCGACTAGTTTCGGCCGCTACACTTATTCAAGACCAGGAGTGGTGGTACGGCCCCAGCTGGCTACGTCTGCCGAGGGAGCGAAGGCCCCTTTCTCAACCACAACGCGAGTCCGTAGCCCTAGACCCTGTTAGTAAAGAGATGCGAGGCGTGCTCGCGGTTGTCACCACAATGGATCCGGTGTTGAAGATCGAGCGATTCAGCACGGCCTGTCGAGCGACTCGAGTGCTCGCGCACGTGCTGCGTTTCGCACATATCGCTCGTCGAAGACCAGTCCCCACACGGAGAGGACTTTATCGTCACGCCGAGTCCATCCTCATCCGGTGGTGTCAGGAGCGGTTTCTCTGCCAGGAGATCTCATCGGTCCGAGTCGGCGAGAAGGTCCCCAGCGGCTCAAAGCTGGCAGCGTACAAGCTCTTCATTGGCGACGATGGGCTTCTTCGAATCGAAACGCGTCTCAGAGCTGCTCCCCACCTCACTTACGACGAAAGAAACCCCGTCGTCGTTCCAGGAGAGTCGCGACTGGCGAAATTGCTCGTCGTTGACGCTCACCGTATCAACGCCCATTTTGGCGTGAACACGATCCTCAATATCCTCCGCAGAAGGTTCTGGATCACCCGCGGCCGTCAAGTCATAAGGGCTGTGCTCCGTCAGTGCGTCGTGTGTCGCAAACGTCACGGTGGATCGGCCGAGCAGATCGAGGCACCATCACCCGAGTCCCGGTCGACCTTGCAGGCGCCGTTCGCAGTCGCTGGCGTCGACTTCTGCGGACCGTTCTATACAAAACAGAGAGCGGAAACCTTCAAATCGTATGTGGCGTTGTTCACGTGTACGGCAACGCGCGGAATCCACCTTGAGCTTGTCCCTTCGCTATCGACCCCACAGACTCATCTCGCAATTCGACGGTTCCTGTCAATCTACCCGGCGTGTCATCACTTCATATCGGACAATGGGACAAGCTTTGGCAAGGCGGCTACAGAAATCAAAAGGCTGTTCAACTCAACGAGGGATCCTGAGGTTCTGGAGATCCTCGACGGTCGCTCCGTCGATTGGAGTTTTAACTGTCCCCGCGCTCCATGGCGTGGCGGCTTCTTCGAGCGTTGTGTCGGCATAGTGAAGTCGGCCCTCGCCAAGACACTCGGCAAAACGCTCATAGGGTACGAAGAATTCCGGACCATTCTCTGCGAGCTTGCTGCAACTGTGAACGATCGTCCGATTTCTCATGTGGACTCTGGTTGTGATGTGCCAGCCGCTACTCACCCCAGCCTCATTTCCTCCGGGGAGCCCATACGTTCCAGCGAGCGCCCCTCTCATCGCAGTCGACTCTCTTGGTGGAGACGAACTTCCCACCGAAGATGCTTTGCGAAGGGCACATGACTCAAAAACCCGTTATTTTCGCGATCTTTCGGTGCGATGGTTTCGCGAGTATTTGTTGCTGCTTTGCTCCGCCGTAGGGACCCGAGGCCGCGAATCCGCACCCTTAAGGGTTGGCGATGTTTGCTTGCTCCGCGACGATAACCTTCCGCGAGTCAGGTGGCGATTGGTTCGCATACTGGCTGCTCATCCGGGTCGCGATGGCGAGACCCGCACATATACTGTAAAATTCGGAAACTTGCGAACGTCTCGACGAGCTGCCCAACTCTTGATACCATTGGAATTGTCTGCCGACCGGCCGGAGACGCCGTCCCCGGCGCTTCCCGAAGGCGCACAGGCCTAACGCGCGTCGGCGCTATCTTGTTAATGTAAAACAGCTAGTACGTCAAATATCGCACGGCGTTCAACTCGTAAACCCCAAATAATTGTGACATCATCCCGTACTCCTGCGAGATCTCATAGAAAATTGTGATATCGGTGCCCCCGTCAGTAGCTCATCGATAGGTTCTAGTCCTTGTGATTCACGGCTGAGAAAACGTCACCGTTTTCGGGGGGAGTGTGAAATAACGTGTAATTTAAATATCGCGCCAGCGCTACGTAGCAGAACGAATCCCAGAATAAACATAAGTTAGTGTCGGTCAAAAAGTGAACCGCGCATGTTCTCCTTACGAAAGTGAAATTCCTACACGAATCCAAGAGACTCAGATTCGATAAGTCCGCTACCGATCCGACCGAAACAGTTACAATCTTTAATCTCGTGATACGACGGTGAATGCGGCCATGAGTAATAATCGAGAATCACGGATTCATCCGGTAAGTGCGAGTGATCCCACGCAGAGTTTCCGTCAAGGTACGAGTATCTGAGCCGTTAAGAACGCGCATGCCTCGAGCATCGTTCTGGACATATTTATTATATTTCGCTTGCCTGGAGCGGCGGGCCCAGCGATGTATCTTTCAAGCTCTTTCTCTCTCTCTCTTCTCTATATTTTGACCGTTGAGCATTTCTGTATCCATCGATGAACTTCCACAATCCAGGATGGTGAACCCCAAGCTTTCCCTGAAGACTTCTGTGTGCTGCTTCGGCGTAATTATTAGTGCGAGAATCGCCCTAGAGCAGGAGTCGGCAAATGGGGGTCCCGGGACCCCCAGGGGTCCCCGGAATCAGCTGGGGGTCCGCGGACCCCCTCTCATAGGCCCCCATGGAGCTCGCGGACCCCCTCCCATAGGCCCCCATGGAGCTCGCGGACCCCCTCCCGTCGGCGTCGGTCCCCGTGAGGCTCGCGGTCCTTCGCGAACCCCCTCTCATGGACCCCACCTATCTCAGTCGTACGGAATTTCGCGTACCGCTCAGTAGCGGGCCGGCCAAGGCAGGGCTTTCGTGGAGTTCTCTGGTTATGGCCTCACCAGACCAATCTCTGTGGGAGATAAACGTTAGCGCCATCCACCCAGGTCTGGGCCACTTTTCTGGGTACAATCCGCAGACAGGTCACAGTCGCTCGGTCAGTTGAATTGCGGCGTGCTGAGAGAATACTTGGAGACGAGCGACGAGATTCAGAGATTTGTGCAATACATAATTCATTCATTCTAAAAGAAACAGACGGCTCAATCTGACGGCTGCTCTTGCTCTGATTGGCTGATTGTGAGCTCTTCGATGTTCGGCTCCAAAGTTGAGACTCCGAGTCGGAGAGCTATCCGTAAGTCTAATCTCGACCTCTATCGTGTCTTGATCGCCGTCATTGCCGAAAGTATTTTCGCACAAATATGTTGTTGAGAAGAGGATAAGGATTTTCATGGCATCCTGAGTATAGGATATTCCTCCTTGATCGACAGCCAGAATTCGGCTCTCGAGATACCGGCGTTAAACTTCAACTTGACAGCACAATCGGAGGATAATTCTATGAGACTTCCTTTTTCCTGCATGCTGAGATCGCATTCGTCGAGGCTCACTCTGAAGGGATCCACAATCTACAAACGGCCGATTTGAGGATCTTCTCTCGGCGGAAAGTACCGTGCGAATGCATCTTGAAGAGACTAGATGTGCTTTTGAATGCACAGAAGAATCATTTCAGGATCGATGTGCTTCTCAGCGACATATTCACCGCATGTCGGGAACATGGCGAAGTCCTCCTCGGCGAGCCGGGAGCGCCAGAATGCAATTTTTTCCTGGAATGCGTCACTCTTGCCTCTACTCGTGAGAATACCCTGAGAAACTCCTCGGAGAGACAAGTTCAGTTTGTTTAGTTGCGAGAAGATGTCACCTAAATACGCAACTCTGACAATCCAATCCTCATCAGATCATTTGTCTGCATCGGGGTGTTTCTGCTGAGCCAGGAAGACGCCTTCTTCCTCGCGCAAAGCGAAGAACCGTGAGAGCGTTCGTCCTCTCGACAGCCGTCTGACATCAGCGTGGAGGAGGAGGGACTCGTATTCCGAGCCCATTTCTTCACAGAGCGATTTGATCAGACGAGAGCAAATCGCTTTGTGGCGAACATGGTTGATGATCTTTTCAACGGTGGTCGACACTTCGTGGAGCACCGTGCTCATCGGTTTGGCTACTAGCTGCTCACGATGAATGAGGCAGTGGCTCGAAATTAACCCGGGATGAGCGACCTGCTTCACCTTCGCAACCAATCCTGTTTTTAGTCCTACCATATTTGCGGCTCCGTCCGTACAATTACCAACGCACTTCTTCGAGTCAATCTCTTTCTCCGAGAAGTAACTTCGGAAGGCCTCGAAACAGGCCGAGCTTGTTGTCCTTCCCGGCAGCTCCAATGCACACAGGAAGTCTTCGCGGACAGACTGGCCCTCAACAAATCTCACAAAACATAGGATAATAGCCCGATTAGAGACGTCAGTTGACTCGTCGAGCTGAATCGAGAAGAAAGAGCTCCTCTTAATCAATCCTAGGACCTGACGCTCAACGTCCTCGGACATAGTAACCACCCTGCGGTGGATGGGTCGAGCGGACAGAGGGATTCTCCCCTCACGTGCTGCTTGAACTTCACCGAATAGGATCTTGCAAGCGTTCACCAAGCATGGTTTGATGAGAGTTTCGCCGATATTGAACGGTTTCTCGTTTGGTGCGATCGAGAGAGCTATTTCATAAGACGCGTCTAGGAGCTTCCTCGTGACTGCATTGTCATCATCTCGAAAACTTAGCAGCACGTTTTCGCGAAGTCGCTGGTTGTATTCAATCGACTTTGATGAAAAGTTGGAGTGCTTCGCTCTGAAGTGTCGTGAGAGTTCCGATGGCTTCATGGCGTCGCGTCCTTCGTCAAACTCTGCGAGCACGCAAGACAAAAAGGTCGCGGGCAAAATTCGCCACCAGGTTCCACAACGAATCCTAATTTCAGGTAATCCGGATGGTACCTTCTGGTTTTGGAAGTTTTGGCTCTCTTCGCTCGCTTTCTGATGGTCTGCGTCCTTTTTTGCCTGGACACGCTGATTTCTGATTCTCCCCGTCGTCTGCGATCGAATCGGGGGATCACTGATCACTAAAGCCGGAAATATCGGACATGTTCCCGCGGCCCTTTTCACTCACGAGGAGGAAGCATGGACTGATCTCATCGGACTGGAACTCGTCGAAGACTGGACATTCCATTCAGACTCTTGGCACATGACATTGTCAGTGAAGGGAAATTTCGGTCGGCTTCTCCTGAGATGACGATGAGTACTCGAAGAGTTCGATGGGATGAGTAGGCACCTTTCGGACGGAACACAACAGACCAAAGAAATGATGCCGGTATAGGATATCAATCCTTGAAGGAAGTTTTAAGCTCAGACCACTGGATAGTCGGCTGGACTCTAAGCTCGATTATTCGTGCAACACTCGGGCGACTGGACACGCTGCCTATGGCTCAAGGAAGACTCTCAGAGATTCGGTGTACGAATGAATGTCTCCCCCTGTGTGGGGCGTTCTTTATTCCAGTATTTATACTTCTCTCCTAAGAGGCCTCTTCACTTATCTTATCTACTGGCTATCACAAACCTTACGGCAAAGACGAACAGACGAAGAGCTTTATCTTACTCAATACTCAAGACGTCGGGCTCGCTTTCTTACATTCTTGTTCGAATGTCGCCCCTCCGTTCACTGGCTTATCTACGCATGTTAGTCATAGTGCCGACATTCGGCTGGGAACGGAATCTTCCATCAACTCCCCCTTCACAGTCAATGTCGGCCAGGGAATCACTCAGAGAATTTGCTTGAAGTAAAAGCAATGATTAAGACGCTCTCGTGGAGACCGTGGGAGGAAGACAGGTTCAGCTATTAGCGCGGTCGGCATGTTGTTTTGTCCTTAGCCAACTCGACACCGGTAAACGGCGCCTTTACGTGATCCACGGTCACCTCGAGCGGACCATCAGACCCAGGGGAAATTCGGTCAACCTCGAAGACACATGCACCGAAATACCGGTGACAGTTGTGATGATCATTATTCAGTTCACTCCGTCTTCGGCTCTCAAATCAAGAATTCACTGAGTGGTTCCGAGCGGATACCAATCAACGATGCGGTCTCTGCACGATCACCAATCAACGATGCAGCTCAACCTGGACTCCAATCTCGATGCATCGGGTATTCATTTGAAAAATTGTGTTCGAGTTTTTCATTGGTTGCCGGTATGGCAGTTATTCCAACGGAGTATTGTCTTCTTCTCTTGTCTGAACACATCAGTTGAGTTCCGACGCTGGATCGCTGCGCACGGCTCTCGCCATGTCGTCAGTTCAGAGGACCGCCGACCAGATTCGTCTGGAATGGCTCGCCCAGCTCGGTAACATCATCGGCCAGAGGAAACTGAACCCGAATCGACCATCGAAACGCAGGCTTCCGGCGCGTTTCCTTTCGTGTCATCGGATCTCGAAACATCGCCGCTGCTGCGCTAGTAGTTCCGATGCCGAGTCCGGACAAAGACGTCGCAGAAGCCGGTGTTCAGCTTCAAGAAGGACCTCCCCTCGTCGTCGCGAAGAGACCGCTCCGTCGTGTTCGTGGCTGACAAGCGATACCGAAAGTTCGGAATCGTCGACTCATCCCCCGTCGCCCGGACCGTCGTATGCGAGGCTCCTTCCGAGCTTTTCTCAGCTCGATGATGAGACGATGGAATCGGTTCCCAGCTTCAGGTTTCCGGAGAACGATCTGGTCGGGCTGCACTCGAAACCGAAGACGAGTACGTTGGTCAAGGAGAGGACGATCAAGGAGCCCGCGGCAGAGAGGGGTAGCGCGGGTCCAGGCAG